CGACGGGACCCCCCGGCTGCCGGGACCCTTCGGAGCACGGAGAGACCCCCCCGGACCCCGTCCCCGCGGGCAGGGCACCCCCAGAGCCGCCCCGAGACTTCCCCGGACGGACCCCCTCTACGCCCGGCGAGACCCCCCGACTCGACCCATTGCTGGAGCAGAGAGCCCGGCCCCCTCCGGAGCCCTTCCGAGGGGCGAGGGACCCCCGAGGGGACGCGGCCCCTTCCCCGGGCTACGGGAGTCGGCACGCCTGGGACCCACCGGCTGTCCCCGCGGGGGCGAAGGACGCCTGGAGCCCCCTACGAAGGCCCCGGCCCCCCGGCCCTCGTCCCCTGTCCCGGGCTGGCCCCCGACCGCAGAGGATCCCTTTTCCGGGACTGGGGACACCCGGTCTGCCCAGTGCCCCCCGGCTGAGCCTGCCCTGAGCCGGCGGGGCGGCCGCGGGGTGTCGAGGAGCCCCGGGGGGGCTTCGGCATCCTGCACCTCCCCGGCCCCATGGCGGCCAAGTGGTTCAAGGAGTTCCCATCCAACCTGAAGACGGTTTCGGAGAGGGCTCGGCCGAGCAGCGGGAGCCTCGGGAAGAGCCGCAAGAATTCAACCGCTGAGCTCGGGGGCTGCCGGGCGGCAGGGGGTGGCAAGGAAGGGGGCAGCCGGCTGTCACGGGACAACCTGCAGGGTCTGCTCCAGGCCGCCACTGGGAAGATGAGGAAGAACTCTCGAGTGGAGGGGGGCACAGCGGAGGGACCCCCCAAAACCTGCGGTACCTACATCAACCGCCTCATCAAGGTGGAGGCTCCCGAGAAGAACGGGAAGGGGTACCCTGGCCCCTTGCCTGCTGGCCTGCCTGCCCCCGAGCAGGACAAGGGAAAGACCCCCAAGACAGAGACGGTAAGGCAGGGAGTGAGGCGAGGGAGGGGGAGGACACTGTGGGGAGCCGGCAGCAGTGGCAGCTTTAACCGCTTTGGGCTTCTGACTCATTAGCCCGCTGACTCCGGTCTTTCATCCCACTCGGCTCCACTGCTTTCAAATCCCTTCAAAGCTGCCTTCATCCCAACTGCCCTTCATCAGCCAGGCGAGGGTGAGGGTGAAAGGGGTCACTGGGCCTCCTCGCCACGTCCCGTGTATCCCATCCTGCCTTGACCCCAGCGCTCAGCTGCTGGTTGAACAAAGGCTGATGTAAAACTTTTCTGGGAAGCTGGACTTTCACCCCTGCACAGCCTTTGGGGGACTGGGAGCTGGCTGTGGGGGGATGGGGCGTTGCTGTCACACAAAAGGGTCCCAGAGTTCCCCCCCAGGCTCCTCCCCACCGCTGAGGTGCACAGGGATGGACACTGCCCACACCCAAAGATGCCACTGGGTGCACCCTCCTGGGGTTGTGGCGTGGCTCCATTTACCCCAGAGGAGCCACCACCCTCCCCTGGGGACCCCAGTGTCCTGTTCCCAGCTCTGTGTCAGTGGCATCCCTGTCACCCCTGCTGGGACCCCTGCCAGCCCCCCGAGGCCAGCAGTGCCTGTTCCCTCCTCAGGTCATCATCCTGGAGGACTACGCCGACCCCTACGATGCCAAGCGCACCAAGGGGCAGCGGGACGCCGAGCGCCTGGGGGAGAACGACGGGTACATGGAGCCCTACGACGCCCAGCAGATGATCACAGGTACGTGCCATGTCGAGCTGTGCCTCGGCACCACAGCGGGCACCGCTCCCCGGCCAGGAGTGCACAGCAACCCTTGGAGCCACCCGGCACGGGAGGCTTCGGGAACAGGAAAGCTGCTCGCCGCTTCCTGCGGCTGCGTGGGGCCAGATAAGGAGTGGGAGCAAGGCCGGACGCTGACCTGTGCCCGCTGGCCCCCTGACCGCTGCCACGACCCGCTGCCACCGCCTGACAGGTGCGTATGGTCCGTGCAAAGCCCTCAGTGCCCCCCACTCGTCCCAGGGTGGGGGTACCGCCCCCGAGACTCCCCCGTGGCCGTGCCCCCCATTTGGCGACCCCCCAGACCGGCGTGGCGACCGTCCAGCTGGCCACAACAACAGGAACTGACTGGGCCGGAAGCTGGAAATAAAAGATTTGCTGCTGATGGTTTTTTTCCGTGCGGGGCAGCCCAGGCTGTTTGGCGGAGACCGGCGCCGTGGGGAGAAGCAGGGGGCCAGGAGGGGCGAGCCCCCCGGGGTGGCCTCCAGCGCGGCCGGGCTCCAGCCTGGGGTGTAGCATCCTGCCCCTGCAGGGCCCAGCTGGCCCCACCACCCTGGGGTTGTGCCTGTGGCGCCAGGGCCGCGACAGCAGACCAGGCACCGTGAGGATGGGCCCCTTCCTGCTCCTGCTCCTCCCAGGCTGGTTCCCGATGGGGCATTCCCAGTATGGGGTCCCCCCCATGCACATCCCTCCCCAAGGGCTGGTATTGGGAGTGGGGGGTCTCAGGGGACACATCCTGACCCACCATCCCTCTCCCCCACAGAAATCCGTCGTCGGGGCTCCAAGGACCCCCTGGTCAAAGCCATCCTGCTGCTGGACGGTCCTGGCGAGTCCGGGGACGGGGGTGCCAAACTGGAGCCAGCCAAGCGGCCGGGGGGCAAGGAGGTGGCAGGGAAGGGGCCACAGCTCTACGACACCCCCTATGAGCCTGGGGAGGGGGTGGCTGGGGGGACCCCCGAGCGCAGGGTGAGGGCCAGTGACGGGCGCTTGCCCGAGAACGACGAGCGCCCGGCCGGAGAGTACGAGCAGCCCTGGGAGTGGAAGAAGGAGCAGATTGTCAAAGCACTGTCAGGTAGGGGAACAGGCATGGGATGGAAATGGGGATGACAAAAGGGATAGGGATGGGGACAGACCTAGCAGGGCTTGACGTGACAGGACAAGTTGCTCCCATAAGGGGCAACTCAGATTAGATATAAGAAGGTTTTTGTGCTGAGGAGGGTGGCGAGGCACTGGCACAGGTTGCCCAGAGAGGCAGTAGATGCCTGCAAGGTCACGTTGGATGGGGCTCTGAGCAACCAGATGTAGCTGAAAATGTCCCTTTTCATGGGGTTGGACCAGACGGGAACAGGTACATGGATGGAGAAGGGGATGGAACCGGGGCTGGGGAAGGTGCTGGGGCTGGGGCTAGGGACAGAGCTAAGGGTGGGGATTAAAATCGGAGGTGGCCTAGAAGGGGTTTTGGAGGCTCACATCTCATCCTCCCCAGTCCAGTTTGAGGGCTCAGAGCGTCCCAAGGAGGAGACGCTGCGGCAGCACCTACGCCAGAAGAGCTGGACCCCCAAGATGCTGAAGCCGGCGGGGGCCGAGCACAGCGAGGGGGAGCGGGTGGACCCCGCCCTGGCACTGGAGAAACAGCCGTGAGTTGCAGGCTAAGCCGTGTGTGAGAAACGGGGGGCGAGGGGTGCCCAGGGCTTTGCCGCGGCTCAGCATCCCGTCCCCGGTGTCCCCCACAGCTGGTACCACGGGGCCATCACGCGGGCTGAGGCGGAGAGCCGACTGCAGACGTGCCGGGAGGCGGGGTACCTGGTGCGCACCAGCGAGACCGGCAGCGGCAAGTACTCCATCGCGCTCAAGTGAGTGTCGGGGTGGCCACAGAGGCGGGGGGGTCCCGGCCCTGGGAGGGGTGGGGGGGCGTCCCGTCCTGGGGGGGATGCAGCGAGGGGTCTCACCCTGGAGGATGCCGCGTCAGGAGCCCCCCCACTGGTTGTTCACACCCGAGCCCTGATGGGGAGGGAGCACCCAGATCCTATGGGATGGCACCCCCAGACCCACGGGGGGACCCCAGGCATCCTGGTGTGGCACTGGGGTGGGGGGCGGAGGGTGGCGTGTACCCCTCCCCGGCACATTGTCAGGAGCGCCAGTGGCGTTTCCTTCCTGAGGAAGTGGAGCCCCTGGAGCTGAAACAATCAGAGCAGGACGGGAACAAACAGGGGTGGATGCGGCCGCGGGGCAGGCGGGCGCCGGGGGGCCGGCGGCAAAGCTGATGCCCGCTGGCCGCCCAGGACCAGCCAGGGCTGTGTCCACATCATCGTGGCCCAGACCAAGGACAACAAGTACACGCTCAGCCAGGCCAGCGGCGTCTTCGCCAGCATCCCTGAGGTCGTGCACTACTACTCCACCGAGAAGCTGCCCTTCAAGGGGGCCGAGCACATGGCCCTGCTGCACCCTGTCCACTGCAAGCTGCATTAGTGCCCGCTGATGCCTCCCCAGACTGGTCTGCGACCCCCACCCCTGCTGCACGGGGCAGGCCTGGCCACGGAGATGGCCGTGTGCCACGGGGAGGGTCTGGCCGCGGGGATGGCCACGTGCCACGGGGAGGGTCCAGCGGGAACCCCTCTGTCACGCCATGGCCTCGATCCCGGACTCCAGCAGGGCTGTCAGGATTTTGCCAGGACGAATCCTGACCCCCCCTGTGCCAGAGCTGACGGGCCATGGGGCTGCCCAGGGTGGGGGAATGCAGCGAAACTGGGACGTTTAACGATGTAGTAAAATAAACCTGTTGGCTGAGAAAGGCCAGTGGTCCTGGAGGGCTGGGATGGGGCTTGTGCCAGCAGGAGTCGCCACAGTTTCGGGTGCCAGGGGTACTGGGGCTCCCCCAGCCACACATGTGCATCCTGCCAGGCTTTTTATAGCAGGGGGCCGGTGGAGGGGAAGGGGAACGCTGTCCCCAGGGCGCCTGAACACCCGCTCCCCTCACCCTGCGGTTTCCTGCCCGGGTGCAGCTGCAGCTCCCTGGGGCGTTGCACAACCCAGCGTGGAGTGGGCACTGCACAGAACAGGGGGCACAGCCTGGGGGTTCATGGCATGGGGTTTGTGGGGGGGGAGGTGCACAGCACAGGGGGTACAGCCTGGCAGGCACTGGCAGTACAGGGAGCACGCCGTGGGGGACACGGTGCAGTTGGGGGGCACAGCAAGGCAGAGGGTGCATGGACTGGGGTTACACAGCCCCCTCTCACCCCCCCACACTGGAGTGACTCCCAGGCAGGGCGGGGCTGCAGTGATCCCTCCATTACTGCCTCCCACAGCATCCATTCTGGTACAAATCCAAAGCATTTATTGGAGCCAAGTTGTCTTATTTCCCCAACACATGCTTTAAAAAGGAGCCCCGGGGGGGTACCAGAGCAGAGGTATGGGGCTGATCCAGCCAGACTCCCCCTCCCTCCCTGACCCCCGTAGCACTGCAGGGACCAGGCCCTTCCCCTGGGATCCCCAAACCTGACCCCGGGCCGGCTCCCACGCTCCGGCACAGCCGTGTGTCCAGTGCTGCCACCTCCGGCCATCCCAGCTTGGCCATGGCCCTGAAGGTGCCCTCCAGGACCCAGTTTGGGGCTCCCCCCCAACTGCTTCTCCACGGGGGTGGCACTGATTCGCCTCCTCAGAGGCTGCTCTCAGCCACAGAGCCACCGGATGGTGGGGGGAGCTGCTCCCAGAGCCACATCACAGTCCTGGAAACTCTGGGGCGAGCGGCCCCCACCTGCCCCCCAAGCACCTGCCAGCACATTCAGCCACTGGTTACTGCCTTGGGGAGGAACAGTCCACGTGGGTGACATGGAGCGTTCCAGGGGCCGTGGGGGTGTGGCAGGAGAGCAGGGGGGTGTCACTGAGTGGGGGACTAGGGAGGCCCAGGGGGACCAGCATATGCTGCCCCTCACCCTCCGGCTTGGTCCCCCACTGCCTGCCTGTCCACCACATCTGCCTGTACCTGCAAGGGCAGAGAGTCTGGGTCAGGGAGGGCAGACAGAGAGCCCCCTGGCCAGGCACCCCCCAGCACTCACCTCACCACGATGCCAACAAAGAGGGCAATGCCCAGGAGCAGGCTCCCCCCGGCCACCAGGAAGGCATAGGGCGATGACATGGGGTGGGCACTGGGTTCCATGACAGACCCTGGCACAGAGAGAATGGATGGTCTCATTGTGTGGATGGGGAACCTGGGTGTCCCAGCCCCCCATCCCCAACCCAGGAACCCCTCCTCACCACCAGCACCATCAGCACGGTCCTCCCAGAAGAGCTCGGGGGGCAGCGTCATCTCATAGTTGTCATCGTCCGTGGGGAACTGCAAAAGAAAGCAGGGGTGCACAATGGGATGGGGCAGCCCCCACGCCCTTGGTGTCCCCTTGTCCCACATGGGGACAGGAGTATGTGGTAGCCCCCAGGGCTGGGGCCATCCCACCTGCGAGCTGAAAGGTCCCATTTCAGAGGTGAGGTCCCTGGGGTCTGCAAGATGAGGGGGGAGCATGAGGTTGGGGGACCCCACACAGACCCCCCACCCTCAGGGCCCCATGTCCCACTCATACCTGTCCAAGGGGTGCCCACAGCCTCCTGGCTCCACTCACTCCACGCGCCGTGGCCGAACTCATCCTGCGCCCTCACCTGCACCACATGCTTCGTCCCCCGCCACGCATCGCGAATGTCCAGCCACGTTGTCGTCACCTGATCCACCTGGAGGGGACACAGGGTTGGGGACAGCCTGGACAGGGACCAGCAACAGCTGCATTCCAGGGAGCGGGGTCTCACCTCCACGAAGGCTGGGGCAGGCTCGGGGCGGTAGCGGACCTGGAAGCGGAGCCAGTAGAAACGGGGGTCCCAGGACGAGGGGTAGGACCAGTTGACCCGCAGCCACTGCGGCGCCTTCTCCAACGCCTCCACCGTCACATTGAGGGGGGGATCAGGCTTCACTGTTGGGGAAGGGGTGGTTCAGGGCCTGGCACTGTGCCCTTGGCCACCCCAGCCCCCGGCAAGAGGGGCAGCACTCACGGACACCGCTGAGGGTGATGATCTTGTCTTCGCCGGCCAAGCCGCTGGCGCCGTTGCTGACACACGTGGACACCACGAGGTGTTTGGTGTCCTCGGTGCCAGGTGGCACCTTCACCCGGCAAACGAACTTCCGTGCCTTGGAGAAGTAGCGGCACCGCTGCTCTGTGGCGTTCTCAGCCGTGAACCTGTGGGGCCACAGCTCAGTGGGGGCTGCAGCACGCACCAAACCAGGCACGGGGCAGCTGGGGGGGGACACATCCTGTGCTGTGGGGTCCCAGGCAGCACAGGGGAAAGGGTCTGTGGGGAGGGAAACGTTCTGTGTCATGGGGTCCCAGGCAGCATGGGGGAAAGGGTCAGTGGGGAAAAAATACATCCCACACTGTGGGGTCCCAGCCCCCAGTAGCTGCCAGGGAAAGGATCTGCAGGGAGGGAAGCATCTTAAGCTGTGGCATCCCAGATGGCACCGGGGGAAGGGTCCATGGGGACACGTTCTATGCTGTGGGGTCCCAGCCCATGGTGGGCAGAGTGACAGTGGCTCACCTCCGCTTCACCCAGAGCACTGCCCGCGTCCCTGGGGACGGCTTCGTCTGCTGTGGCCACTCACACAGGACATCCTTGTCGTGGCTCCGCCGGTAGCAGGACACTCGGGGGGTTTCGGGGGGCTCTGCAAGGCAAGGAGGTGCTGAAGGACAGGAGCCATAGCAGGCAATGCTGCCAGGGGCTTCCCTACCCCAGCGAGGACCCACCTTCCACCAGCAGCCGCAGGGAGCGCAGCGGGCGGCTCCCCACGGAGCAGATGTAGCGTCCCGAGTCCTCGTAGCGCAGCCGCCGCAGGAGCAGCACATTGCCCTCCCCCAGCCGTCGCCCATGGCCCCCCGGCACTGCTGCTCCCCGCTCCTCCACCTGCCACCACACCGACACATTCGTGGGCACCTCGTCCCCGCAGGTCAAAGTGATGTTGGCTCCCAGGCGGCCCAAAACCACGTTCCGTGACAGTCCTGTGAGGGCAAGAGGGGGTCAGGTGATGAAGACAAGACCTCGGGTGCAGTGAGTGTCCCGAGATGAGGGGGGCTCCCCACTGCCCGAGATGACAGGGGCTCCCCTTGTCCAGTGGCTGCTCGGGGTCAAGGCACTGAGCTGGAGAGGGTGGCAGCTGTTCCCCACGGAGTGGAGCACTCACAGCCGTAGGGACGGGCACCGCAGCACCAGACGGGGTGTGTATTGAGGGGTCTGGCGGTGGAGAGCACGGCTCAGGGAGGTGGCAGACTGGGGCGGGTGGTGCCGGAGGGGTTAAGCGGCAGCGCTGCCTGGCGGCCCCAGTGAGGCCTGGGCTCCCTCCAAAGGTCAACGGCCGGCATGGACCTGCTGTTCCCTTTGGCTCCTGCTTCTGGGAACGCACCCTGTACCCAGGACACAGCACCCACGACGCACCACAGAGCACCCAGCACCCACCCTGCACCCCGGACACAGCACTCAGGACATATTCCCCAGCCCCAGCACCCACCTTAACCCTCCTCTCCAGCACCCCCAGGGGTGCCCGGTATCCCCACCCGCCAGGCTCCTGCGGGGCAGGCAGGGAACCGCGTGTGTCTCCTCGCCGTGTCCGGACCCGCGGAACCCCGGTACCCGGGGAGGCTCAGGTTCCCCACCCCTTCCCCCGCCCCGCACGGTGCCGGTCGCACTCACCGGAGGGGCCGCAGGGCCGCCCGGCGGCGGCGAACGGGAGGAGGAGGAGGAGGAGGAGGCGGGGGAGGAGGAGCGGCCCCGGCGGCCGCGCCATGCGCCCGGTCCCGGGCAGAGAAACATCGGCGGGGCCGGCGGGGCCCGCGGTTGTGAAACCGGGCGGAGGGGCGGGGGCGGCACGTGCGCCCCGGGGGGCGGGGACAGCGGCACCGGGGGGCGGACCGAGCCGCCACCGCCCCCTCCCACCCCCGGGTCCCCCCGGACACAGCGCACGCGGCAGAAGCTGCTCAGAATAATATTTTATTTTTTAAATAAAAAAAAGCTGGTTTTTGGTTCTTTTTTTTTTTTTTTCCCCTCAGTGGAGCCATAAAATGATACAATTCCGCCAAACAGAAACGAGTAATAAATTATCCACCCCTCCACCGAAATAACCCCAAACAGCCCGTAAACCAACTCCAGCGCTCACCAAAACCCGTCTCAACAGGCTCATCTTTGGCATTGCGTCCCCGGGACCCCAACACCCCCGGAGACCGCGAGGGATCCCCCAGTGCTCACCCACGCCCCGGGAGCGCTCAGTCCCGCGGGTGAGGAGGAGGGAGGAAGCAGAGGCCGAGGGTTGCGCAAGACCCCGCGTGGGAGTGAATCACGGCAGCTGCCAACACCCCAATCCCTGCAGCTCGGGAACGCTTCCCCTTTCCCACTCGGCACCCGCCGTCCTGCTGTACCCTGAGGCGGGGGGACAAGGAGGATGACCTTCCTTCCCTCCCTGTTCTCTCCTACCCAAACAAGAAACAAGTCGCTCTGTAAACTCGGAGGGCTTTTCCTTCCTTTTTTTTTTTTGGTCTTTTTTTTTTTTTTTTTTTTGGTTGCTATTTTTTTGTGGGTGTTTTTCCTTTGTTTATATAAAAAGAAGACACGTGGGTGAGGGACGGTGAGGGGGCCACAGCCCCCCCAGTGCCCTCCACCTCTGGCATTGATACATTCGTGTGTGATGGGGTGTTTGCACTCTGTGGAGGTAAATACTGACAGAGGAGCAAATGGGGGCTGCTGGGGACGAGGTCAGTCTGTCTGTCCACACGCCCCAGGGAGGGAAAGAGTATATTTTTGGCTACAATGTGATAGTCCAGACTTCCCCAAACCTCAGCACGACTTCTGCTCCCACCATGGGACCCTCTCGACAAAGGGCTTTGCCCTCCCCAGAGTCAGGAGGAGAGGAAAGGGGGCCCCGGCTGCACTGGAGGGGATGTGACCCTCCAGCCTCACACCTTGAGAGTCTTGTCAGCCGTGCCACTGGGGCTGCCGGCACCGCTGCCCTCACTGCCCTTCTTCTTCCACAGGGTCTCGATCCAGCTGGTGCCGGGGCGGGAGGTGAAGCTGGAGAGCGCCAAGGAGCTGAGCCGCATGTTCTTGCCAGACATGATGAGCTCCCCGAAGCCCTCCTGGTGGGAGAAGGCGTATCCGGAGCGGCGCGAGCCCACACGCCCCGCGCGCCGCATGCACCGGTGCTGCGTCTTCTGCTTCTTCCGAACCAGCTGCGTGTAGCGCACCTGGGACACAGGGACAGCGTCAGGGACCCGCAGAGCCACCTGTCCCCAGGGACAGGGCCCCACGTCCGTGCACTCACCGTGTCCGACAGTTCAGGTTTCAGGTCCAGCTTGAGGAAGCGAAAGGCCACAACGGGCACGATGCAGACCACAGTGGTGAGGGCGATGGTCAGCCAGACGGTGGGCTGGGCCAGCGTGTTCTGTGCGTTGCCTGGGGGGGAAGCACGAGTCCAGCGAGAGCCAGGCTGGGGTAGCACCCTGTTGGGGTTGGGGGTACAGGGCGGACCTCCAGGGACTCACCCACGAAGCGGAACTGGTTGGGGAACATTCGGAAGAGGCCATCACTGTGCATGGTGAAGAGGATGGCGAAATAGGCGGCCAGGCTGCCCCAGATGAAGAAGTGGTTGATGGCCGTCCAGAATCCCGTGTCCAGCCCGATCTGGAGGGATGCAGGAGGAAGCAGGGCTCCGAGGATGCCCAAGGTGCCCCAAGGGACTGGGGCTGAGCAGCCACATCCCTACCTGCACACTGACAACAATCACAAGGGAGGTGGCGACGGTGACGGCAAAGGACTGGTAGTCAGCCAGCTGGGCACCGTCGTCGCGGGTGGCGTCAGCGAAGACGCCGTAGGGGATGAAGAACATGAGGACAGATGTGTAGATGCCCTGGGCGATGCAGATGAAGAACTCACGCTTGTTGAAGAGCAGGTTCAGCTGCCCAGGCTCGTAGAGCTTGGGGTACTCCATGCTTCGCTGCTCTGGCACATCCTGGGGGAACAGGACGCTCTGGGCACCACCCTTTAATCCCAGGCAGGCTACAGTCCACAGAGGGACAAGGATAGCCTGGTCTGGGCACCCAGGCAGCCCTTCTTCCCACAAGGAGGGCACAAAGGGGAGTGGGGCCAGTTCCTCGCACACCCAGGGACCCTCTCACCATCCCCTGGCATACCTGGTCGAAGATACCCATGGCAAGCACAGGCAGCGACGTGTAGACAATGTTGTACAGTGTGATGAAGTACTGGTCATACACGGTCTGCATGGAACAGAGTGCTCAGGGGGGCACGATACCTGCCCACCCTGTGCCCCAGCCAGCCCCAAAGTCCGTGTGCCCACACCTGCAGGGACAGGAGAGCTGCCTCCACACCCCTGGGCTTGCCCACCCTGACACGGGCTCCTCGCACCCACTGCTTGCTGGACCCCAGGCTGTGCCTGCTCGCTCGGGATGAGTCCCCAGGGGGAGCCCAAGGACCAGGACCTGCTTTCAAGCCAAGAGGTCCCGCAGGCAAACCCTCTCCAGCTCTGAATCCGAGAAGCCACCAACCCACCTGCGCCGAGAAGCCGCAGAAGAAGCCAAACCAGAAGTGGACCATGGTGAAGGCGAAGTTCTTGTAGAAGAAGTAGCAAAGGAACTTGCACATGCGCAGGTAGGACCAGCGCCCGTGCACCAGGAGCAGGCGCTGCAGGAACTTGAACTGGGAGAAGGAGTAGTCAGAGGCCAGCACGGCCTGGATGCCCTCCTGCCCGCTGATGCCCACCCCAATATGGGCAGCTGCAGAGGAAAGAGAGACTGGAGTGAGGAGGGGGCTGCCAGGAGCATGGGGTACAGGGTGGCAACCCCAGCACAGGGACTGTGCTCCTGTGTGGCACAGAGGATGAGCGTAGAGGCTGCCGTGGGCCCCAGGATGGTGCAAGGAGGGCCCTGTCCCTCCCATGGTCCCCCAGACCCCAAGCCTTACTCCTGATCATGCTGACATCATTGGCCCCATCCCCAATGGCCAAGGTCACAGCTTTCTTGTACTTCTTCACCAGCTCCACCACCTGGGCTTTCTGCAGGGGCGTGACACGGCAGCAGATGACAGCCTTGCAGGCACACGCTGTCTCCAGGAATTCCACCTCCATGTCTGCCTCCAGCGCATGGGCCTGCAGGGAGAGCAGGGGACAGTAAGGTCACAGCCCGCAGCCAGGCACAGGGCTCTGTCCTGCCTGGTGCTCCCAGGGCCCTACCAGGCTGTGCCCATTGATGACCAGGGCGTATTCGCCTGCAATGGCTTCCAGCACAGAGGTGAGCTTGGAGGAGGAGACTTTCTCCTGGTAGGAGAAGCCATTGCCCACAGAGCGCGATGCATCCATCATCTTCTCTCGGGCTTTCCTGAGGAGAGAGGAGGCACGGGGGGCCACGGGGCCTGACTCAGAGCCCTTTCATATCTCCAGCTGCCCCAGTTGTAGCTGTGCCCCACGATGGTTGCAGGTATGTCCTGTGCCCCCTGACCCTCACCTGAGCTCCTCTCGCACCTCCAGCACAGTGTGGCCTGTGACAATGAACACCTCCGTCATGTCATCTGTCAGCATCTTGCAGGAGTAGCCGATGTTCACGGCTGTTTCTGGGGACAGGAAACCAGGGGCTGAGCCAGGGTCCACTCAGGAGAGAGTGTCCATCCCACCAGCCCCCAGGCAGGTGGGATCCAGCCCCCAGACGTCCTCATCTCCAACCAGCCCAGACCCCGCCCCAGCCATGCCTCACCCTGCTTGTCACCCGTCAGCACCCAGATCTTGATGTTGGCCAGCGTCAGAATGGCAATGGTTTCGGGGACCCCCTGCTGCAGTTTGTCCTCGATGGCTGTTGCTCCAAGCAGCTGGGGGACCCAAAGACGCAGGAGGTCAGCAGGGACTGCCCCCAGCCACCATCCAGTCCTCAGTCCCCAGCCCACCTACCATCATATCGTGCTCCACCTCGTCATAGAGCCGAGCCAGGCGATCCTCACGGGCCTCGGGGGCACTGCCAGCCCGGTGCAGCCGCTCAGACCAGTCCCTGTAGTAGTTCTCCTCCAGGTCTTTGTAGGCCAGCATCAGTGTCCGCAGCCCCTCGGCAGCATACTCCTGCAAGTGGTCAGAGCTGGGAGTGCTGGCAGACCCTGACGGTGTCCCCAGACCCCGATGGTGTTCCTAGGACAGGGCACAAGCGCGGCTCGGTGCTCCCAGGCAGCCACTCTTCCCTCCCCACCCCGCCCCCAGGACCCTGCCCCACACACATTGAGGTGGTCACTGGTGACGCTGGTCAGGTCCTGGTTGACGGGGTGCAGCCTCTCCAGAAGGATGGTGTCAGCGCCTTTGCAGTACAGCCGGATCTTGCCCTCAGGGCAGCGGACTACAGGGTGCAGGGGACAGGATGCCTGGCTTAGGGGTGAAGGAGCAGGTCCTGCTCTGACTCCCCAGCCACATCCCCGTTAGCGTGGGACTGGTCCCTCAGCACACCGCACCGAGCCCCGTGCTACAACCCCATGCAGCCTTCCCAGTCCCACAGTCCCCGTGCCACGCACACCCAGCACCTCACCGATGACAGACATGCGCTTGCGGATGTTGTTGAAGTCCAGGATGGCCAGCAGCTGGTAGGTGATGGCTTGACCCAGCTCGTGCACCGTGATGGTCTTGGGTGTGCGGAACCGGAACACGAAGCCGAAGTTTCTGGCAGCTGTGACGAGCGCTCCCTCATCCGGGGACTGTGCCTTGTACAACAGCTCCCCTGGGGACAGCACGGGGGTCAGTGCCAGCGTCCCACGCCCCAGAGGGACAGGTCCTGCCCCACGCCCACCTTCGCTCTTCTCCTCAG